TCAAAAGGCAAAAGAAACATCATCATGAGAGTATCCACGCATCACGCTCATGTGGGTTAAGCTATAAATAATAATGTAGCTGTCCGCCTTGGCCTGAAGAGTGAGTGAGTGAGTTTGGTTTAACCCCGCTTTTAACAGTATTCCAGTTATATCGCGGCGTGTCAGCTTAATGTGGGAGGAAAGCCCGAAGTGATGCAGGTCTCAGACGTTTACCATTTCGGTGAAACCCACGAGCACGGGTATGGTGCTGACAAACCTAGAAACATAATCGGGGCGAACCGGGATTCGAACATAGGTTTCTGGCGTGCCCAAGGGACGCAGCTCTGCACGGCGAATCGCGGCGCCTTTGACGACTGGGCCACGCGTGCACCCTGGCCTGAAAATGTTCAGCGATTTAGATATTTTTCTATAACTCAGTTATCTTCGTCAATAAGATGCCGATAAGGAACATGAATCACGCCAATTTGCTGTTCCACTTCTGACACTTGCAAAGCATGACACAATTACAACGCATTTTTTTCACGTGTTTATATTCAGGCTGTTTGTAATCAACATGACAACGTCATACCTTTAAATTTGACTGTTATTTTAATTTTTTTTTTAGATTTGTAACATTTATAATATAATTATGTATATGAACATTTGCATTTTACTTTTTGTTCAAGTGCCACACTGCTACTATAAATTGTAGATATTTTGCCGTTGCAATGCTATCAAACGTGACAATCTTTGTCGATGAGTGGACATGAGTTGTAACACACGAACACATAATTTTTCTTGAACAAGAAGATTGTGCCCTTACATGTATGTAGCAAACTATCTTTAGGCTGTTTAGTGTCGTCGATTGCTAAAAAATGTTGACAAGGCTCAAGGGGTGAGCAACTTCCCTATATACACCAATGGCAAAGCTTGGAATTGCATCGGTGTATAACAAATGCGACTACGTTCAACAATTATTTCAGTGAGGGATTTTCAATTTCGTTTGCACGGTGAAGTATGCGTTAATATAAATGTATATTTAAAATGCAAATGAATGCAAAAACTGTACTGAACACGTGGTAAGTTTGCACATTGCTTTCTACGAATATTTCAAAGAACGTGATGCGACTCTTGCTCAACAGTTGTTTCATCAAGCTAAGAGCATTCACGCCCTTGAATATATGATCAATTCTATTATATTCAGATCAAAATAACATTTGAAGCAAAGAAGGTTTGGGTAAGCCTGGCACAGTCAGGCTAGCTGGGCTCATCATCACCTCATTGCAGCCCAGACAATGAATTGAACTTCTCCCAGGAAGCGCTGCCTGGTCAAACCCACCCAGAACATTACGGAAATGTGAAGACTCCCAAAGACTGCAGCCTTCTGCATTACCGCATGTTTTCCATAATCTTGTCAATCATATTAGTGTCAAATGGGACAGAAAATGCAATGATAAAATGATTTCTTTGGATTTATCAAAAAGGACAATATCAGGTTTGTTGGCCTGGATACGTCTGAGGCTGTTAACTGCCCTATACCAAAGAATGTTGTATTTATCATTTACCATCACGCCCTCTTCATAATCTAGGTTGTACCATGGATGGACCACTGTGTCGAAGCCACAAGCATGTCGAAGACGGTAATCAAAAGAATCAAGCCACACCTTCATGTCGCTTAAGAGTCGTGTTTGTGACAAATTTGGGCATCCACTGACAGTCTCATTAAATAAATTGCATAATCTACTTTTTATTTTTTCATGTTGATGCAAAATCACATATTTGCGGTTTCGGGTTGGAAGTTTTGGTTTGGTTTGTTTGTTGTTTTACGCCGCACTCAGCAATATTCCAGCTATATGACGGCGGTCTGTAAATAATCGAGTCTGGACCAGACAATCCAGTGATTAATATCATGAGCATCGATCCACGCAATTGGGATCAATGACATGCATCAACCAAGTCAGCGAGCCTGACCACCCGATCCCGTCAGTCGCCCTTAACGACAAGCATAGTCGCCTTTTACGGCAAGCTTTGGTTGTTGAACACCAATTCTAACCCGGATCTTCATGGTTCTCAGGTTGGAAGTGACGGGTTATGAGCAGCAAACAGAAAGCCTTCTGTTTCACGTTTAAGGCCAGCCTACCTCATCGAAATGAAGGACTCTGCGGGGTTGCTGTTCCTCTTATTTTTCTTCTTCTTCTAATTATTATTAACATCATTTATCATATCAACTAATATAATGTACCATGTCGTTGAAAGACAAATACAAGTGAATATTGTCAGCAACACTGACTTATTTTGTTGCTGGTAAAACATAACATGAACTCCTACCTCTCTCCTCACAATTAGGTAAATGTGTCTGAGAAACATTATTTTCGTTTGTGCGGCCTCATCTAATTTGAACAGTATCTGCAGACATGAGCAGGCATTAACCATACCGGGACACGATCAGACACGCTAAGATCACAGTCTCCAAACACCGAACAATGTTAGTTGCCGCTTACGTTTGTTTGTTGTTTAACGCCGCACTAACCAATAAAGCTATATGGCGAGGGTCTGTAAATAATCGAGTCTGGACCAGACAATCCAGTGATTAACATCACGGGCATCTATCCACGCAATTGGGATACGATGACATGCATCAACCAAGTCAGCAAGTCTGACCACCCCATGCCGTTCGACGCCTCTTCCGGCAAGTATGGGTTGCTGAAGACCTATTCTACCCCGGAGCTGCACGGGTCAGTTGCCGCTTACAATTGGTTTGTTGTTTAACGCCGCACTCAGCAATATTCAAGCTATATGACGGCGGTCTGTAAATAATTGAGTCTGGACAAGACAATCCAGTCATTGATATAATGAGCATCGATCCACGCAATTTGGATCGATGTCATGCATCAACCAAGTCAGCGAGCCTGACCACCCGATCCCGTTAGTCGCCTTTTACGACAAGCATAGTCACTTTTTACGGGAAGCATGGGTTGCTGAAGGGATCTATTCTACCACGGGTCTTCACGAGTCTACTATGTAGTGATTTGTGTTTATTCTGTATGTAGTAGCATGTAATTATGTATATATCATCAAGTGTATTTTAAGGTCTTAGCCCTAGTTCAACCACCCAATCCATCCTCCTTCATAATTCCAATAGCACCGTCATCCTTGCGCTTGCCTTTCTATTGTTTCTCTGGTCCTTATTGTCTAGCCCCAGCCCCTTACTTTTAGTGACAGGCGCATTATCGGACTGGTCAGTTTGAATTTACACTTGTATTTGACTCTGCATGGAAGCAAGTTCTCAGTTCATCACTGAAATAATTCAGCCATTGTCACAGGTGTGTCCCTTGAAATCAAATGATGTATGATGTTTTGACATCATAGGGCACAGTGCCAGACACTTGGTGAGGATAATTATATTTTATATGTATTAATGTTGACATGTACTTAAATTGTATCTGATTGGTTCATAGGAGGGGCATAGAAGGGCCACAAATCGTAATAACAACATGTGGCGCTACGATCGAGGTCAGGAATTCCAGCCTAGTTCGGCAAGGGTGGAAATTGGGCTTTTAAAGTCAGTTAACTCTCTTGCTGGGGAAGATGCTGTATGTGAAGGCAATATAAACTTTGTTCATATTAAAATAGCACTAAGTTATGCTGAGGTCGGGCGAAGCGCGCCATGTTTGATTTTCGTACGTCAGCGAGCATCACACGACAAGGGGTTATTATTTTTGGATATCGTAAATACTCAACAAACACTTGAATTTAGGATAGGTGAATATTTATAAGTCATTAATTGTTTCCTGTAGATTCCATAGAGTGACACGTTAGATTGACCAGAACGTTCTTATATCTGCAACTGACATGATGACCTCTAAATGTTTATTCTGTTTATTGTTTGGATAATAAATTTACTGAAATGGTTCGTTCTGTTTTTTACCGATAGAAAAATCGAATTTATACTCATTTAGAATTAAGATATCAGAGATATGATAACTGGCACAAATTTAACGATTTAAACAGGTTCCTAAAATATAAAATGTGGAATTGATACACACCAAAAGGCTCTCTGGACAAAATAAAAGTATCTTCAGTAGTTTCTAAGAAAACGTCCCTATTACACACAGTATGTATCAAGTAGAATACCATGGAGCAAGGACCGCAACTCTTTAAAAAATAATTACGTCACCGAGTATTTCTTAGGTTTCTTTCATTCATATAATTTCAGTAGTTTCTGAGAAAACGTCTAACCACTGCAGACACTACGCATTAAGTAAAATAACATGGATCAACTCTGTACAAAATAATTTTCGTGACCTTTTTACGAACGCAGTCTTGACAAGTATCTCGCATAAAGGCATGGAAACTTTCATTTATGTAACTTCAGAAATTTCTGAAAACACTTGTCCCCATTTCATGCAGTATCCACAAATCTGAAAAGTACGGAACATGGGCCAAAATTAAGTCTGTCACAAATGAATATAGGACAACAATTCTCGAACTCATTTTAGATCATGACCAAGAACATCAGTGTGTAAAATTTCATTTCTCATACTTAAATAGTTTTTGAGGAAACTTGTACCCTTTGAGAAGCGGGTGGACAGACGGACGTACGTACGGGCGGACCTACGGACGGACGAACTACATCCCGATATCCCCCTACTCCTCTTCGAGGTGGGGGATAAGAAGAACTGAACTTTAACACGACCTCCAAAATGCGGTATCTGACTGGATGAATCAAATAGTAAAAAACCCGCCTATGACCGTATTTTCAGATGCGAAGCAGTCAACATGCTGTAACAAAAATGGATGGACCGGTCGATTCTGTAAATCAGTTTGAGCTAAGACATTTAACATATCCTTTGTTTCTCACGTGTATTCAAAATAATATTCCCTTGAGTTGTGTGCATTTCAAATGTACATGTATATGTAGTGGAGAGTATAAATTATCAAGAACCTAAATACATTTTTTTCAGAATTTAAAGGTATTGATAAAGTAATATTAAACGATCTGGAAAAAGCTGAAAACTCACAGTTGCTTGAGATACTCATTTTCAGAACCCATAGTCATTTATACTCTGTATAGTCCAACGAATCTCCGTTTGGTGTGTATACAAGTCTTCCTGTATATCTTCATGTTTTAACTTTCTTGACGACATTGACTGTCTATTTTGGACACTTGTACATTTATGTGAAACTCACGCATTTTGTCTTTACATGTTTTACGTTCAGAAAGTGTCACTTACACGATTTCATTTCGACTTGAGAGTTTCTTTGCTTGTGCAGAGGTGAGTTGCGTGTGGCCGTTAACATGTGCAGACAATTGTAAGGTGCACCGAGGCCTGACCCTGTTGATCTACCGAAGATAATAAACGTATAGATTACATGTTTCTGTAACCATACAGGTGTAACGCACAGTCGAGACCGTTGCAAATACAGTGGAGGGCCCGACATATCTTTAAAGAACTCTGGACATAATATTTCTCGTTCTACACATGACAAACGACGGGGAAGAATAGGTCTTCAGCAACCCATGCTTGCCTTAAAAGGTGACCATACCTGTCGTAAGAAGCGACTAATGGGATCGGGTGGTCAGGCTCGCTGACTTGGTTGATCGTATCCCAATTGCGTGGATCGATGCTCATGATGACGATCACTGGATGGTCATTCCAGACTTTATTACAGTCCCCTGTCATATAGCTGGAATATTGTGCGGAGTTAAACAACAAACTAAATAAGAAAGCGTGACGAACGATGCAAAGTAGATAATATACAACTACAATCATGTATAGTACTATTATCGATACCTCATGTGAGGCATATCGGTGACAATTCCAATATGTGATGTGAGTTATATTGATTTGTTTGATAATTAGGATTTTTGAATTCAACATAGGATGGTTATTGAACACCTTCAAAATATACATAGTAACACTCAATGTTCAAGAACAAGGTATTTTACAATAAATAATCCAGAGACATTAAAGTCTTGGGAATGATTGTTTAAAAAGGGCTTGTGTTGTGTCAGTCTCATATTTCTCTTTTGAATGTACAGATCTTGATTAAATGCAGCTAAATACACCCTTGGGGAAAACGTGAACAGCAGGTATGAAGGTGAGATATTATCTTCAGCTATCAATAAATGTAATAGGGTTATTCTGGTTCACTACCTCCTGCAGGTAGCGTCGCTGATAAACCAGGAGACAGGGCATGTAGCGTGCCACAAACTTAAACTTGATGCATTTGTGGTCGGAGATGGTAACAGTTGTTGAAATGCGATCTAGGGAAGTCTGTGCACCGAAAGAGACACGCAACAGATTGCGATCTTTGTGTTAAGTTGAGCAAATTGCTAACGCGAACCGCTTGATGTCTTTTTATGTCTGACAAGATAGTCTAAATACAATCGTTTGCGAGACATTAAGTTGCTAGTGTAAACAAATATGACGCCGATTTTTATTATGGCAACGATAATGGTAAATGACTTGGTCAAAGTAGATGGAAACATAACTGGCAATGTAAAGTACATTTTACAAACTTTAAATAATCAGAAATGTTAGGTTGTGAAAACAAGCTTTGGAGAAATACAAGTACCTCGATGCATAATGAGGATTGTCTCGGGCCTCATAAGCCCCACCTACGTCAAAGTGTGTACTTGATGATTTAGACCTGGTTGAAGAATCGCAAAGATTCGTACGCGAAGATCTTGGAGACATTGATAGTTTTCGACCAGAAAATGGAAATGAAAACACCCTAAAGAAAACTGAAAACAATTTAATAACAGTGAAAATCTACCTGGCTGTCGCATTCAACGTATACAGGCAAACTGAAGACATTCACTCAAATAACGTTTTGTGGAAATTTGTGATAGGTGTAGTAAAGGTCGATGGGTCGGAAAATGAGGCGAATTCCATCATGGATTTTGACCAAGCATTGTCAGATCGCTCGAATAAGCTAACCGTGTATACAGAATTGGATTCTTCTCAATTTACCAAACTCCGCGAAATTATTAAATAAAAAACTCAAATCCCTGAAGAAGTGATATGGCTCGGAAAATGCTCAATTTGGCGTGAACTGCTATTTGCTCATTCACTCAAAACAGTTTAACTCGTATCAGTTGATGAAAAGTGCACTTTAGTTTTCAAAATGTATGTTTCAGTTTCAGCAATTCCTTTTAGGTTTCGACTGTCAAGGTTATTGTTTGTCTGTTGAACAAATCACTCCCATTCCTACCCTCTTCAATCTTTCTTTTACTTTGAGTGAGTGAGTATGGTTTTACGCCGCTTTTAGCAATTTTCCAGCAATATCACGGCGGGGAACACCAGAAATGGGCTTCACGCATTGTACCCATGTCGGGAATCGAACCCGGGTCTTCGGTGTGACGAGTGAATCTGTTACTTTGAAGGTCTGATACTTGCGGTGCTCGATTAAAGAACTGATAGCTGGTAAACCTAATGATCTGCATACTAGATACACGTCAATTAAGTACGATCATTTGTATATGTTGTATACCATTAAGAAGATATTTTATTCCAAGCAAAAAGCTCTCGTACGTAGACAGAAGCAACGAAACTTTTCAGTTCGTGAAATTGGCGTTTATTTCTGTGGAAAAACCAGACATGTACATATGATAACTGTACCCGTCATCAAGGCACAAGCACGTAGATTGAAACATGCATCATTCTTACATTCAGGAAATGAAGTAAGAACTGGTCCATGCATATACTATCATCATCGAACGAATTATTGTGTATGCGTGTACAACATTTACAACGCATTAAACAATCACAATAGCAACAATATATACCATTTGCATGACCACATACCGCAGTATGTTCCCCCGTCATGGACAGTGATCTTATACGTAAACTGGTTGAATAGTTTGAATCAGGGAACGTATTTGTGTGTGTCTGTGTGTGCTGTCCTTTGTATTAGTAATAAACGCCTAGCAAAGATTTAATTAGAATTAGTGTGTGTGTGTGTGTGTGTGTGTGTGTGTGTGTGTGTGTGTGTGTGTGTGTGTGTGTGTGTGTGCTGTCTTGGGTATTAGAAATCAACGCTTAACATAGAAGTACTTAGAATAACGTAGAAACGTAAAATAACTTTGCAAGCCGTGCCTATAAACAGAGGAGTGTCTCGCTAAAGGAACCTGTTGGCTAAAACTGAAACAGCCAGTGATGTCAAAGCAATAGTCGCTAACATGAAACCGTACTATACATCTTATGTAGTACAATAAGATCATACTTTAAAGCTAATGTGCGGAACCTGTGTTCATGAAAGTTACGAAAGTTGAATACTACATCATTAACTGGTCTGAGAACGAGTACTTATATCATCACTGCTTATTGTAAGGATTACATTTACACCACTAAATACTGTTTCTTAGATGGAACTGTCTCATACATAATGGACGCTGTTGTTTGATGTATATAATCAAATATAGTTAAGCAGCTTATGGTCATGTGTAAAACCCTCAGTGGATTGGCGTCAGCGCTGGCGTCTCTCTTCGTCAATCTTGCACTGACGCGTGGTAGGCGTGAGGTTGCCTATGTTTGGTTACTCGTTGCTGATTGCTCGTGTTTTAAACACTTGTAAATATTATTGTTAGCCCAAATTTAATTTTAAAAATAACTTTGTATTCATGACGCATATATACATACAAAGAAAAAAAGTTAAGCACAGCCTAATATATTCCACACGGTGGGAAAATAATCGGCATGCATATCGCAGGAATGTCATTTAATTCCATTGGTCGGAATTTGGGGTATAATCACACTGTTGTAAGCCATTTAGTCGAGAAACATGCTCAGACCGGTGATGTACAGGGCAGTCCCAGATCCGGAAGTCCTCCTGTGACGAAACATCGCGAAGACAGGAACCTGCTTCGTCTTATACGCCGAGAACCCTTTTTAACAAGTACTCAGCTGGGTTGCACAATCGTGGTTTCAGCACCAGAACCGTCAGGAACCGGCTGAAAGCAGCAGGACTGAGGGCTAGACGAGTTATGAAGCGTCCCTTGTTGTCACAACAAAGCGGCTCGTTAAGTATGGTGTGTTTGTGCGATAGAACTGGAATATGAGAACTTGAAGACTGATGGAAGAACGAGAGATTGGAGGCACCGGAACACGGCCTACACCCCAGGAACATTCAACCGACTGTTGAATACGGCGGGGGCACGGTAATGGTTTAGGGGTTTTTCTTTCATGATTGCCGGTCGGGTTTGGTCACCATAAGGGGCAACGTAACAGGGGATCAGTACATCCGGGACGTTTTGAGGCCAGTCGTCGTTCCACATTTTGACACCCACCCTCTTGCTACTCGACTTCAGTACACGGATGACAATGCCAGGCCTCATCGTACGCATGCAGTCGTCGATTACATGAGGGCCAATGCAATAACGACTCTACCCTGGCCAGCAATGAGCCCAGATTTGAACCCACTTGAACATGCTTGGGATACTCTGGGGCGGCGCATACAGGCACGAGATTTACGCCAATTGGATGCAGCATTGCATCAAGAGTGGTTATTGTTGACTCATCCACAGATCCAACGTCTGACTGGAGGCATGTGACGTAGGGTGGAATGCGTCATCAGGGCACGTGGCGGTTATACCTGCTACTGAGTGAGTGAGTGAGCTAATGCTTTACGTCACATCGGCAATATTTCAGCCATATCGTGACGAGAAGTTAAACAGTTTAACACATATATTGAAACTAAATAAAACCTGTCATCGATGGACAGTAAAATTACTAGAATATCACAGATTTGTATTTTAAAACTAGTATTCAACCATAAAAAGATATCCTATATAAAAATAGGCTATAGATCGTCAGCAGTTGAAGGCAGATCACCATGTAAGGGTCCATAGGGACTTACAGTACTTTTGCTACCTGCATGGACCCCAGCCGGATTTACATCATCCCCTCAGCTGTTGGCGATTATTGACAAATTTAGGCTAAGTTAAACGAACATATATACTATGAATAAAAACGTGGCACACATAAATATACTTTGAAAGACGTGGTCTCATGATCACATACCCTCTCAGGGGGACAATAATTTTACACTACTTAAACCCCCTTCAGCTACTGAACTGTTTCACGTGTCATGTTTCATATTAAGTAGAGACTTTAAGGAAC